ATTATAGCACGGTGATATGAGGCAAGCCACATCAAACCTTGATTTCATCATTTGATTTCTTTCTCTTCTAAATGTTACACTTGTATGTCTTTATCAAGTGAGGAAAAAAACAATGAAAGGTTTCTGATTTTGTCCTTCCCACAAAATCAATCCAAGAGAGAGAAAGACTAAAACAAAATCTATCGAAATTCCGAATTCACATCAAGATTAGAATATGAGGTAACTAAGAAAATATAATAAAATCGGATTAACATGTAATGAGATACTATTGACACAGATGAGAGCGGAAGGTATTTTAGGGGTATCTATAGTCAATATGGAACTACAAAACCAGGTTATATCAAATATGTTAATTAACTATTCTGAGTACACTTAGTCCTTGATCATCAGGTCAAGTTATTTCTGCTTCCAAGGCCCCCAAACAGATCTTGAGGAAGTTGGTAACAAAATCTAAACAAACATGATAACTATCCACAACATTCGAGAAATTCATGGAATTTTGGTGGTTTTATAAGACTAAGGATGCTAAAATCCTTCCACCATTAGTTCAGGCAATTTTTCAGGCATCGTTTTTGGCCATCATTTTTTTCTCATCTTTGGAAATGGAAGAAAAGCATCATGCGAATGGTGGCCAGTTAATAATTGATCAATGATGGAGTTGAAACCATGAGCGTCCCCTTTTACCAAAATTTCAAGAAAGAAAAGAGGAACCAATGAAAAAGATAGAACTCATACACAGTTGACAGTTAACCATCTTCTTCCTTCTCTCTCCTAGCCATCTCTTATTGCTTTTTTTTTTAAATTAGTCGCAAGTCTTAATTCCCAAGTTGTACAAAGTTGTAAATTGTAAAATATATAGCAACCTCGGGTTTTTTGAAAGTTCGCTGGTCATAAAAATTGGAGATCCACATGCCATTGTTTATGAACCTAAAAATGTGCCGGTAAAAGTCGTTTCCGAAGTAAAAGATACTCAATTCCGAGTTGGTGAATTGCGGTTCCAATTACTCATGGAACCATGACTTTTGGGCGTAGGCATCTGGATCCCAATAAATGGGCATGTAGTTTCCCCATTTCCTAGATCAAGATCCCTAAAACAAGGAAATGCTTGGAATTGATATCCAGTGTCTTGGAGAAAGAGATCGAGCTTCCGGGGCAGGAGTGACTCCCTACCATTCTATCCGGTCCCCACAGGTTCTAGCAGTTCCCTCTCGGTTCTAGCCGGTTCCCTCCCAATTCTAGCCTCAAAAGCACCTTCACACGTGTGTACGCGTCAGGCGTACGACACTCACCACTCCCACATGTGTGTACATGTGACACGAGCGATACACACTCCCACACGTGCCATACATGTGATACACACATGCACGTGTGCACGTGTACACCGGTTCTAGTCAGTTCAGGCCTCAAAAACACTTCCACACGTGTGTATGCGTCACACGTGCAACACACACCGCTCCCATAGGTACCACACGAGTGACGGGCTGGATAAGGCAAGTCTATACAACGTAATTTTCCCACCCTACTCATGGGCAGAAATTGAGACAACGAACAAGGTATTTTAGTTCTTTTCCCTAAGAAAGGGTGGAGAGGTTTGGGTGGGGCTATCCCTTTTTTTTTTCAATTCATTAATTCATATTCATATAATTTATTTTTTAGATTTTGGATATACTTTTAAATTTTTTTGCAACCTATTATGATTTGTATTCCTCTATTATTTCTACTTTCACATATTTTTGGATTTTCTTACCTTTTTCAAGCCAATAACATCAAAATTTTCCATATTTCATGTTTTATATACTCTCCTTTTTTTTTGTATGACTTTTTTGGATTTTTTCTAGTTTTTGTTTCAAGGTTTCTTCCTTTTTTTGGGAATTCGAGGGCTTCGAGCTAGACTCGAGTGAGTCGCCTTGGACTCGTGGTAGTCACTTGGCTCGGCAGAGGCTCAAGTATCTTGTCATAGCCATGTTTTAAAATATTGATGCCTATCCATCAAAAAAGGAAGCAATAATTTCATATTAATAAAAAAAGGCAATAACTTTTCAAATTCCTATTTCATCAACTTAAAGATTAAGCTTTAGATATAATTGCATATTAATAAAAAGAAGGCAATAACTTTTCAAATTCCTATTTCATCAACTTAAAGATTAAGCTTTAGATATAATTGCATATTAATAAAAAGAAGGCACTAACTTTTCAAATTCCTATTTCATCAACTTAAAGATTAAGCTTTAGATATAATGTCCAAGAATCTGCATTTAGTACACCAAATGGGTCCAACATACGTCATAAATGGTTATGAGATTTTGACTTGCCATCATTTTAAAATGTGTATAAAAGAGAGAAAAATCTTTTCTATCTTTATTTAATTTTCTATCTAACCTTCAAATTTTTTATGGAAGTTTCATTTTTCAGATAAGCTAAATACTCATATCAAAATTCATCTTTTTGGTAAGAATAATCAGCATATAAAAGCCCTATCTATATTCCCATGTCTTATTTTTCTCACTACTTTTTTTTTCTTTGTGAAAATATTATTGTTGAAATTAACATAACAAACTAAATGGATTTCAAGATTCACTGCAATAAAATAAACAAAACTGACATGGCAAGATGGGAAGATAAATGTCGATTTTGAAATGCCCATTCTATAGATCGCCTTAGGTTGTGAGATCAATTACAAAATTGTCTACCCCTTCGCTACGCTTTTGCAGTATTCTATAATATATTGGGGCACAAAGTGACACTTGTGTAAGGACGAAGAAAAGGGTGTCTTCTAACATTGGATTTGCAAAAGTACCTGTTGGAAAAAAAAATACGGTCCAATGACCAAAGCGGAAGCAAAATAAAACTATCGAAAACCGGGTATCATACCTGAGTGCTTGCACAACAATTTTGATGAACGAATGTGAAGATAAACGATCAAATCACGTAGGCACGTTCAACAACTACTAGAGTTGCCGAAATTTGTTCCACACCGCAAATCCCGAGCGAGGTGGAAGCTCACAAACACTCTCACAAAATGCGATAGAAGTTGTCCTCTCACACACAACTCTATCTCTCAGAGCTGGTTCTTTCCTTAGAACTCAAATGGGAAAGGGATTTTACTTACTCTCTCTCAGACTTTTTCTCTCATAATAGGAGCTCTCACACCTTTCTCGTGTGTGAGTTGTAATGTGTAGAGACTTCCAGCCTGCCCCCTTTTATAATGAGAGAAAGAGCCCTCTCATTCATCTTGGAGTAACCTCCTCATGAATGGGCAC